GGTAGGGGTGGGACGTGTGCGGCTAAAAGTGACCGCTGGACTGGACCCGCCCGCTTGGGGGGAGGGAAGGATGGAGGACGCCGCTCAATCCTGAGTAAAAAGTTATACATTCAAGTTGGAATACAAGGGGGATAAACCAAATTTTTTAAACACACAGGTCTTGGGCGGGACTTCGCTAATGGCGCTGCGTTCACAATGTGTGTCGGTGGGTTCGTTTCGTTGAAAATTAACAACCTCTTTCTTAGACCACAGCGTTCGAAATTGAAGGAGTGGCAAACGGCGGATCCAATTCATCCCGAAAAAGAAGCGTCAACCTTGTTGATCGGTCTTTTACCTAGTCCCATCAATAATTCCATTATTCACTTGATCAATTTGTAAACATCTAAACCAAGTGTTGCGACTCGGATAAGTTCGTTGTCTTTGTATTAGGGGCTTCCAGAGTGGGTGCTCGCAGTGTACAGCGCTGAGCGTCAAGCCGCGTCGGCGTCCGCACCGCCGCTGCAGTGCTTGGCGTGGTACCTTCCACCGAACGTCGCGTTGCGCTCGCTGCAGCCGCCGCGTATGGCCGCTTCCATAGTTCACCGGCCGGTCCGAGGCAAGATTCAGTTGTAAACAAGGGGCAAGCGCCGCTCTCGTCCGGACTATGAAAGCAGCTCATCCCAGAAATGATGATTGGAGCGCGCAATTTGTGACTCAGAAAACCCTTAAATTTTTTACCGTTACTGCCCACTTCTTTCTTTCCCCGTGCGGAATGCTCTATCGATTGACGAGGAGGCGGGCTGAATACGGTAATAACGGCTCGAAGCTGGGGGATGGTACATCCGTGCGATTGGATCTGCGCGCGGCAAAATACATAGTGATTTTGACGACTTTATCGCCCATTATTGGGGCCCAAATTTCAACAAGAGTAGATTAGTAGTGTTAGCTGACTCGACTATTCTCGTTCAAGTTTGTGCCCCAATAATAGGCCCCAGATTCGTTCAAATCGCTACGAATTTCGCCGCACGCGTTTGGAATCGCACGAATGTACACGCACCCCTCGAAGCTGATTAAGCATGATTTGCCGCATGCGGCAAAGCGAACGTGGGAGATTGGGGAGAAGTTCCGCCACCTTTTAGATCCACATCCAATACTCCATTGTTCCTGTTGAAGCCCTGAATGCCATCGAAGACCATAAAACATTCGAGTTAAACGTGACTTCGTTTGTACGACAGCACCGATTCTGGCCAAGTAAAAAGGAAGTTCTTATAGGACCAGCAGCCAGCCAAACCTATGCAGTTAACGATACTGGTTGAACGTATATCTGGAGAGTAGGGAAAATGGGTGTTTTTTTTNNNTTTTTTTTCGTGTTGTGTACACATCCACACATAACCAATATAAATTTCATTTGTTAAGTAAAATATTCTACCCAAATAAGGTAGTGTTCGCCAGGACATTTCAAAACACCAACACATGAGTTTCGTGTCATTCGCTGTTGCACAAAACAAGAAAAATCTATTTTTTTCACCCTTGTAAAATAATGCAATATGTCAAATGTCCAGAAAAATAATTACAGTTGATGAATCTGAGGAGAAACGAGCATAATTCCTATTTCTTCTTTTTATCATTCGAGAGCTGAATTTCAAGAGCCGCTTCCTTGACGTCCACATACTCAAGTTGGGCTTTGAGTAGGCTTGTATCCTTACCTTTACTTTCAGCCTAAACAGTACCATTTCGTGTTCCACGCTTCAGGCATGTGGTAATGCTTACTTTATGAAGCTATTCCACCTACCTCCTTGATCTGTTCACGGAGCATTTTTCGTTCAAGATTGGCGGTTAATATATGTGGTGGTGCATTCCAGATTTCATCCAAATCAGATGGTTCTCTGAAAAATTGAAACAATTTCAATTCATTGGTTCAATTCAATTTGGTATTCAAAAAAGAAAAATACCTTAAGTAACCGAAGTATAACACAAACACAGCAATACTACCAAAAGCAGATAACAACTTCTTAGTTCCGAACTCATCGCTCGAATAATAATCAAATTTAAAAGTAGGTCGCACTACGCCATCACCACGCTTTCGTCCCTGCAACATTTATCTTCTGATGACCAACTGTCTTATGACCCCCACCCCCCAGACTTACACTGCACTGCAGGTGCACTTATAAAATAACTCACTTGGAAGGCAGCAGACTCGCTGAACTTGGGCTCATGAACTTTCTCCTGCTTAATTGAAGCGAAATATCTCGGAAAACGAAGTGCCGAAGTCGGTCGTATCCGCAGTAACATATCGGAAATTTGAGCTCCCGTTAGAAATTCGTACAACAACAGAAAAAATGCCAACAATAAAGGTAGAAGTAATAATCTGTTCGCTAGTGGATCTCAGAAGGGAGAGTTAGCCATACTGTACAACATCACGCGCTCATTAGCTGTTTGTTCGTAGCAGTTCCCATTTTAAACATTGCCATTTCATGCTTGTGCTTGGGTATCCCGAGAAAACCAGTATGTGATTAGACGGAGGTGCGTATCTGTTTACTTGGTTAGTAGGTGGGTAGAACCATCAGTGCTCATCCTGAAAACAGCAGCCAAAAATAGCAATCTCCTACTCAAACCAAGAGCTGCTGCCCCATATGCTGCATCAAAACGTCAGAATATGGGTTAGTCATGAACCCTGGTATGGTTAATCACAATGGAATATTTGCTGGAACTGAAGGAACAGCTAGAAAATAGGCAAATAGGGAAATGTAACACTTATCATGCGGTATTTTTCGAAAATAATAGTGAAAATCGTAGCAATATTTGCTGTGCTGAACATGTACTGTAAACATACTCATTTCAAACGAATATTTACAAAAGGGTTTAGTAAGCTCATCAATAATGATAAACAAAGATTCAACGAGAACTTTTAAGTAACAATCGAGTTACAAAACGCGAATTCGGAAATGTCTTGGGATATCACAGCTCCTACACTGTATAGTCAAATATCATAATAAAAAAAAAAATCTACAACACATCAAAAAACACATCTATACTACTGCTGAGGTGGCTTGGCGTAACACGCATCAAGAAACTCGTACGTCATTTCATCCACTAACGACTTGTCGGGAATTTGAGCAGCCATTCCGTACAGAGCAGCCTCAAAAAGAATCAACTCAAACAAATTCATTGAAGCACTGGAGCAAAGACTACTCACCGTACTGCTTTTGTTCCCTTTGTCACTACTTCTGCTTACTTCATCAGCTACTTCGGCGAGATCTTTCAGAAAAGCATCCACAACCTCTTGGCTAGCGTGATTATAAGTGAGACAAATATGAATACTGAAATATGAATCATAGATGCCACCACTGTAGAATAGAAGCATATCGCTTATACACTCACGCGTTAGGATTCTGCAGAGTGTTCAAATTCCAACCCCGTTTGTTCATTTTGTCGCTAACAGCATAAATATTAAAAGCGGAACTCTTAAATGCAACAACAGACACGTCAGGAGAACCATGAAGCTGAAATTTGAAGTTTTCCATAAATATTATCACGCTTGGGATAAGACTTTAGAGTGAGAAGAAATGATTAATTTGCGCTTATCTCGTACTACAAAAATTGCAATTTTGTTAAGTGATATGCATTTCTTCTTGCTTATAATTATCCTGTTCTACGGGTGTATTAGAATCGTAATACATATAAATGGGCAGAAAATTATACTAGCCTCCAAACCAGCAATTTTTTGGACGCCAGCAGCTATCTTCCTCGTATGAGAGATGATCTCAAAACATCTTCTCCGGTACTCCTTCTTCCCGAACGACAAAAGGGTGGCCCACGCTACGGCAGAGTTTGCACCAGCCCGACTTCCTACAACGACAGTTAGATGTTATTTTCCCACACACTGCTCCTTCAGTACAACTTCAAAAAATCTGCATTTTCAGGATGCAAATGTTAAAGACTAACCACAGATTGTGGGTGTTGCATAAATGCCCCCAGTCCACTCTGGCACAGAGAAATACTGGTAATGGAGCAATTCCTTTGAACGATACATTACAATGGAACTGCCTTTCGGTGTACATCCATACTGAATTGGGAGTGATTAAAAAGGAGTTGTCACTGGAATTAGAGACATACAAATAGTAGCCCAGACTCACTTTATGAGTATCACAACTGATACTCGTCACCCCCTCGTTACGGAAATCAAAAACGGGAATGTCAAAGCCGCACTCGTCCATGAAAGGGATAAGGAATCCTCCTAGACAAGCGTCGACATGTACTGGAATATGGTACTTCATCCCCAGCTGAAAATTTTACGGAATTATTGAAAAGCATGACAATTACTTTCAATCTAACTTCAAAACACCTAAACAACATACCTTCGCTACATCTGGGACGGGATCGACTGTTCCCGATGGAAAATTAGGGGCAGACGCAACAAGCTGCAACATCAGTTTATCTTTGACCCCTCAATGCTCTACATCTTATGCCTTCATAGAGCTCCTAGACGAATAAAAACCGCAACTGACCATGCAAACATCGGAATCTATAGCCTTTTCCATGAGGGCTAGGTTGACACGATTGTTTTCGTCCACTGTTATGTGACGCACGCGCATCCCACACATGAAGGCAGCCTGCAGACAAATACCATTGGGGAAGGAATAGGGGAGGAAGCTATGAAGAAGTCAATGCTTCTATCCGTTATGACATCATTGGATAGATTTTGCCGATTCGAAAGTTCGGTTCACTGAAGGTTAGAAGAGGTCCTCGTCACAGGAACGGTGGCAGTAATTCAACATCCACTGACCTTATCAAAAGCAGCGTGTGCTGTTTCCGAACATACAATCACTGGATTCTCCACGCCCTTCTGCATAGCCCTGGAAATGTTTTAATTCAATTTGAGATTTAGGCGTATATTGATTCTCGTTGAAGAGAAATATAAGGAAAAATCTATTACAAGGCAGATGGTAAATAAAAAAGGTACGGAACATGATCAGCTTCTTCTCATCTATGTTTTTTTTTTGACTGACCGCTAAGAGAAAAATCACCTGTTCCTGTAGGCTATACAAGCCATAATAATGGACTCTGTGCCACCAGTTGTTAAGCTACCGGAGCTCTCCGGGGGTGCATTATAAAGGCTGAGGACCTAAAGTAGATCTACCGTGATTCGATTCCGATTTTTGAACGATTCTAAACCACAGAATAACGATTGTGTCACCATGCGAATGGTTTCCGCTTCCATTTTCCGTACACCAGGGAAAACATCCGGATGAAGAGGGTTTGAAAACGCATACTTACTATAGATCTGAAAACTAAAGGTTTCTGTAGCATGGGGAGAACAAGAAGAAAATGTAACTCGACTAGGGAGAACAAGAAGAAAATGTAACTCGACTACCTTTGTAAGTAAAGCAATATGTTCGGGAGATCTATCAGTGTAAACGGCACCTGAGACTCTGCCCTCGGCAATACCGAATTTACCATAAGATTCATACTTCTCTGCAAGGTTTATGACCGCATCCGCCGACAAACCGTTGGTTGGCATATCTGTTGGAAAAATTTTTATCAGATTGTCCATAAACTGGGTCATTTTTCATTATAAACGAGAATAGTACCGGATAGGAAGATTCGGTCCGTGTCATCCTTGTGTATAGCTTCTAGAATTTCTTTCTTAGCTCCTGCTAGTTGTTCCTCGATCTTAGCTCTAATCATAGGCAAGCGACGAATTTGAGAGAAGGCGTAGGCTGTCAATCTGAAAGCGCTGATATGTTGTGAAAGTGATGAATAGATTGTCTATTAGCGAGGTCCGCCACATACAAAAGGCCTACACAAAACACATGATCAACAATCATCACATAACTAATTAAAAACGCTCATGATTGCATCAACTTCTTGAGATAGTATTGTTATATACTCAACTTTGCACATCTAAGCACTGAAGGGGGTTGAAAACAGTTGGAGCCTTCAAGATTTACAGTAGTCCTCACAGTCTCTGCTCTGGCAGGATGAATAATTAAAAACGGGTATAAATCTCAAAAGCCGCTACAAATGTCATTGAAAACCAACCGCTTGAATAAAGGCTCCTCGCTTCGTCTGTAGATTCTGCTAACCTTTAAGTAGATGACTGTTCCTCCCATAGTTCCAATGATCAACCATAGCGGATCAACTTTGCGTAACTGATCGGTGATGGCTTTGTGGGTATCGGTTAGCCGTGTAACAACGATGTGGAGTGGATTCGAGTCCATTTCTAGAATGAAATCAGGAACGATTCTGCAACAATGACGAATCTTTCACATAGGGATTCGAGGCAGGCACGGTGAAAGGAACTTATATGGAAATTACTGAACCACATCATTTCTGCTACATATGGAACAGAACCTAATGTTTTAACATTGACATATGATTGCTCATTAATAATGATTCTTCAAATTTAAAGCGTGATGCGCTAAAAGTAACTTGAACTAGCTGGACCTTCATCCGACCAAGCATGCGATCGGGGAACGATTGCTTCAGTACGCCAGAAAAGCGGATCCTGCTTCTAGTTGTAAGTGGAACAAACGCTGAAGAAGTAGAAGATCAAGGAGTAATTCACTAAATTTGTAATTACATATGTCACTATAAGCAGACGTACTAATACGATTCCCGAAATTTCCCTTGAGCATTAGCAAGAGTTCACGAAAAACTGAACGACGATAGCCTACAAATATTCCGAAATGCGGCCACCGATTTCTACTGCCCTGTGACTACAAGTATATTACAAAGCAGCACAGTAATTTGCCCGAAGCGCAGCCTGTTGACAAACAATAGCGTTATCACACGAGAACAGAAGCCTCTATGCTGCTAGAACACTGAGAAAGGAATGAAGGATATAATTCATTGCATGCCCATATAAAGTTTAAATTATGCTCTAATAATCACAAAGCATGAGTTTAAAGCTTACACACTACAGCCGAAACATGCATTTAGGGCGTATTTTATGAAATAAAACTGAAGCTGCTAACCTTAGCTTAGTACGAGAATTTTGTTACCGAACGAACAACATTCCTTTCCGTTTGTGGGCCCATACGAGACTTTATGAAAGTGGCCCACCTTGTACTGAAACCTATTCAATGCTCGAACTTTGAACTGACGTTTCAACTCTATTTCGTCGAATCATCTGTTCGTTGAGAAAAACTAGTACAGAGATCTAGAATTGCACTCTGGCGATGCTTAAGAGACCAAAAGAGTGGCAACCGAAGAACAAACCGACCAGATAAAATCGACGAAATGCATGCAAAACCTCCAGATAAGAATCGCTGAGCACAATCGTTATCAATTCACAACACACATATATTTAATTCCAATTTTTATCGCGGAAAATTGTGCAATAAGTTCTCTTAAGAGAAAAACATGGTCATAAATCATAGTGGAATGGTGTTGCGGTAGATCAACAAATGCGCTAGTCATCATCGTCTTTTTTCTTCTGCGCCCTTAGAATGGCACCAGGAGCAGGATAAGGTCTTTGTTGGAAGAGTGGACCACCTGCAGTGACATCGGCACCTGTTCTGTCATGGGCGTGAAGTCCAGAAGACCATTTCCCACTGAAATATTAATTGAAAAAGAGGATTTTACCAGAAAATTCCACCACTCATAGAGGTCTAGAAATGTTAGCAATTCCTCAAAGTGAAAACTTACACAGGCACGTCTCCATAAGCTGCAGGATCCATAGGATCAATACCCTTGCGTCGTGCTCGCTCTGAAGTTTCATATTGACAAAGAAATGTATATTTGATACCGGAGCAACTCAAAATCATCGTGATTGCTATTTATATCAATAACAAAAATACTCACTAAGCCTGTCTCGTTCGTTCATTTCTTCAATCTTCGCCAGATCGTCATCGCTGTCATCACCTCTGCCGTCAGAGTCATCAGAATTGCGCTATAATATACTATTATGTATCTCCACATTAAATTTTCCTTTTCACTACGTTGATTAAACTTGCCCTCTTTTTCTTTGCAAGAGCCGACTTCAGGGGTTTTCCTTCTGACTTTTTCTCCTAAAAAACAGTGACCTATGTTAGAATGCATTCTGAATAAAGAGCATATAATAAAGAGTGAAAAGACAAGTGCGAAAATGAATTATAACTGGAATGAAAAAAAACGTTAAAAAAGACCTGAGTATCTATTTGAGCAGTCCCTTCCATTCTTTCCTTTAGTTCCCTGGCAAGTCGCGGGGCAGCTTCTCCTATGACTGCAATCGGGTGCCGAGGGGAAACCCAGCAAACCTAGACAAACAAAATCATCATAAAACAATCCTTCACTTCAATGAGAACAACTTGCTTATTGAGAACCATCAGAAGCTGAACAAAACCGGAATCGTAGCAAAACAAATGGTCCTATAGAAGGCGATAGGCATGGACGTTTGTTAGGTGATCTTCGTTGACAAACAGCGAAGATCACCTAACGGACAGTATACGAAAACCTGTGAAGTACACAACGAAACAATAAGAAACCTCATCGGTATCTTGATTCCAGTAGTAGTGCCTTGCAACTCCTGCGTCGTATACCTCTACCCATGGTTCCGGAAGAGGGAACTTTGCGAGCATTCGACGCCTTTTCCGCAAATAGGCTTCAGAAAGTCTGAAAATTCCCAAGTCACCGCATTGTAACCTAACCATAGCTATGCAGCATAGTAGAAACACTAGATATTCATGATAGTCGCGGACATAAAAATCCAGTATTGAATGAACTGTTACTGGGAATTTTTAGGAGCAAATGAGTAGAATATCTTCGATTTAGATATGTTTTGCATTCCCCACCCGTTGAACAGATTTTCCTCCTTTCTGCTCAATGACTATGCTGCGAAGAACCAAAAAAGTAGGTATGCAACCAAGTGTTGCAAGAGTGAATTGAACTATGAAAACAAAAACTTGTTATGAAAAATGAAAAAGACCTGTTTTCTGGAGTGCCTTCGCGCCAGTGATCATAGCAGTACTCCGTACATATATGATATGGGTTGTACTTATTTGGACATCCTGGAGCACCGGAAGAGTTGGTCTCGACAGCTTTTTTCTCCTTCGCATCAGCAGAGTCGTAACTTTCAGCAATGACTTCCTCATTCGCTGGAAACAACCAATTGAATCACTACTCTATTTTTGAAAGAGCACTGTTGTTGCTTTTCAACATCGTAGTTTCCCCTAGCTTCTTGCCTTTGAGGATTTATTTTAGCACTTCTCACAAATGCCGACTTTTTGATGGATCCAGTTGCTCACTTAAACTGCACTCACAGTCGATATGGCATACTACTTAGCCCGTGCGAATGTAAATAAGCATGCAAACATGCTGGGACCTCTGGGTTAGGCCATAATTTTTGGCAAAAAGGAACGAAAATGTGCATAATGAGCGGCGCTTCTTCTTTATGAAGACTGAATTATCCGTCGATTGATCGTCTACATGTAGAATTCCTACGTATTTACCATGAAGAAAAATTTCCCTAATTCATGCCGTAAATTACGTAGATGACCACCAACAGGGCAGCAAAAAATTAGAATCTTTTCAATATAAACATCAGCAATAAATCTTAAACTTTAAAAACTTTGAAAACCATCTCACGAAAAGCAAAGTCAACTCGAACGGAAACTACCAAAAAGTCAATCTAAAGCTGTCATAACTATGATACCGAGAAGAAAGACGTAAAATAAGCCCAGGAAAAGCATAACAAGGCGTCAAATCAGGATCAGTCAATGATTAACAGTATATCGATCGATGGACGACGTCGGCCAGGCTTAACGCAGTCCGGCTCAGTTTTGAGAAATCCAAAAATTGAAGGAGCACTTTACCGCAGCTCAAAAATTGTTTCATCTTCGGAAGCTTAGAAAATAGTTTTAAGATTCACAAAGGTTTCGAAAAGGATGAACATGTTTAAATTTCAGTAAATTGCACCAAAACTTACTAGCTTTAACAATTCCACGCTTTTGAAGACGGGCAAGTAATGCTGGTGGTAACGAGCCCATTCTGTAAAGCATTATTACATCGATTACAATCATTCTAGTCAATGGTAATAAAAAGGAACCAACACCATCTGAACAAGCAATAAAAAACAATACTTATACCAATTAAAGGGAACTTTTAGAACGTTGAAGTGCTATTGTCTAAAATAGAGCTTCAAGTTCTTCATATTCATACCGTAAAATCGCGTATAAGCACCTAATACCGTAATGCACGCCTAAAATTTACTCATTGGGTGGTAAGGGTCATCGGGGCACAAACTCAAAGTAGAGTAGTTTAGTAGGGTCAGATGATCCTTCTAATCTACTCTACTTCGTATTTCGGCCACTATGGTAGGCACTAAAGTCGTTCAAATCGCCACGAACTTCGCCGCGCAGTTTGCCGCGCGCATCCTCGGACGCACGTAAGTTCCGTCCCCCCACTTTATGCTATTCGAGATTCTCTCCCATTTCGAGTGGTCCACCTATGTTGCGCCCGTTCAAGTTTTATTTCCGAACACGTTCTTCTCGAACCATAAATATATCGAGTAATATCGGAATAATCAACACTACACGAGGGATCACCTCAAAGTCGAGCATTTTCGCGAGTCTAACGGAACGAAGCAGAAAAATTGTGTCGGTAAATGTGTACTACGCTCTAGTAGTGTTAGTTCCTTGTCTTGAGATTGTGTAGTCCCAAGGGTCGCGCTATCACGCACACATATACACACACATACATAGATATATACAAACATACATACATACATACACACATATGGTCACGGAATCGAATCCCTCATCGACATCGAACCCAACCAAGCCTTCCATCCCTTCGTGGTCGGTTATTTGGTACCAGAGTCGTCTAGGATTATAAAAGCACTGTCTTGTACATCTGCTAGCCACCGCAAGTCATTGTGTAGACCACATACGCATTCAATCCGCCACTACAATTCTGAATGGAAGTCGAATGACGGGCGTATCCCTCAGACGGGATTCATCTACGCTCAAAGTCTTTATCCTTAATTATTACAATAGATGTGAAAATACATAATACGCACACGCATACATACGGAACTACGTAATGCTCCTTAGAATCACATGTGTACGAGAACATCAGTATAATTCATCACAGTTCAGTGGCCAGTATGAACTCGGACTTCCTTCATGGTGGTCAGGTCTTCCGTGAATCCACGTTTTTTACTACAGTAAGTTTTATACAAGTAATCGTAAAAACAACAAGCGCTGGATTGAAACTCTTTCCTGATGAAATACAAACCATAAACACAGTTGAATCGCTTATTATTTGTTGTCAATCGGAGGACGGAAACGAAATTTCAGTATGGGCATTCGGCATCTACAGTAACCCCATAGCTTCCCACCGCGCCGGATTACTGTAAGAGCGAGTGCCCGTGCTCAATTTTCGTTTCTTAATTAGAGGAAGCAAATCATTTGCGACACTATTTGAAATACTATTTACTATTAGTTACTATCATACTACAGTACCAAAGGTACTCTCAATGCGCTATTTGTTAGATCAGCGAATGATAATGATGGGGAGAGCAACGGCGAATGCGACCTCAACCGTTCAGCATTATACAACGGAGCACCGGGAATCACCAATTTCGGAGCACGGAAAATGAGATTGCGGAATTCATAGGCATCAGTTAGAAGGAACAGACACATAAAAAAGTATGCTCCCCATTCATAGACAGCTCCTGAACTCGAGTAGTCCTGAAATTGT